AAATAATAAGACCGATATTGATCGCATATTTTAATGTGCAATAAATTTCCATAACCGACAAACCGAAATCCGAATCGCAAAATTCACGCCATCCTTTTCATTCCGCTATGTTGTGTTTGGTTAGAAAGAGAGAAACTGAGAAAACGGATTTCTACGCATCAGTTTGCGTTTGGATTTGGGTATTGCCGATTTTATTGTCGATTCGGATTCGTTTGGTGGTACAGATCGTAAGATCGTACCTTAGTTGTGCCGATTTTTAAAATCGGATTTTCTAGTTTAAGAAATCGATACGATTCGATTTGTGTTTGAAATTGAATTTTAAAGTCGTTTTGATCTGACGCATGCCTACGGAGATATACAGTTAGCTTGCTACATATCTATTTATCTATGACAATAATCTATTCACATAGACATAGTATCTTATAGACTAAACATTCAGTTACGTCATCAGCGTGTGAAAGGAATGCACGTATATAGTTAGACATAAGAGTAAGGGAGAAGCAAATCTATATTTCTTGTCTTTTTCTACGTATGCGTTTTTGATTGTTTTCCCTCCTTTATTTGACATTAACGATGTCAACCTCTTTTGAATAATATTGATATTATAAGCAAACAGGTAATTGAATTTAGTGTTTTTTGTGGATCTTAGTTATTAGGTAAGGTGAAAAAGATGGTAAGTTGTAGCATTTTAGGATGCAACAGCATCAGTCAACGAAAAATTGATAATATTACCTTTCATCGGTAAGTTTGTTTTGTGCTTACATTTGCTACTTGTACTGATTAATATCTATTGTTTTGAATATAAAGTGTAACATTTCATGTTTTTAATGAACTTTGTGATGTATTTTGTCAAATATTTGGACTCCCTAATTGTAAATTCTTCATGATAATGCTCCTTAATTTGAACGGTCATTCGAAAGCTTAAAGTCATAACAAACGTGTACTTTTTGATTTGGTAGGATTATAGAAACTTTAGGGATATCAGCGAGTACAATAATGTTTTCGCATTGTTCAATAATAATTGTTATTGTGATTAGTAGTTATGTCCATAAATATGAATCACATAATGTTATACATATACATACACTTTTATGTTCAGCTTTAAAGGAAACTCCTTATTGCCCTACAACTCTTCAATCATTTTCCATATTACATAGACGTCACAAATAATATGTAAGTATCAACCAGAAAACATGTTTGGATTCAAGTACATAAATATTGGGCAAAGTATATTTAATTTCACAAAATATGTATTGCCTCAAATCAGATGCACAAAACTTTATTGCATTCCATTAATTCTATTATACATTAGCAACAATTACATTACAATATTTATTAAAAAAAAATATGTCATGCTAATATAAAAATAAATATAAATATAGATAAAATAATAAATAAGTCTTAATCTTAAGGTACACAATAACACAGCAACATAAGATAATATTCTCAATTAATGATGTAGAAAAAATTTCATGATAATATACTTACCGTTACCATTAGTCAGTATCAAAAGTTATAGGTTTTGTGATAGTTGCTTAGCTTGGCAGGAGAATTGGCAACTGCAGTTATTTGGAGACAAACTGTGTGGGAGGTCTATGTTCAGCGGTGGAGGACATTTGTTAGGCTGTAAATGTATTAATTAACAATATCTAAAGCTTAATATGTACATAATTTTTTAAATGTTTGGTATGAATAATATTATCATTACATTTACATATTATACTTGCTATTTAATTAAATCAATTGATATTGTTTCAATTGTTATAGGTATTGTATTTATGCACAGATACACATACTTGATTTTTTTTGTTAAATACCTTGATATAAAAGTGTACTATATATTTAATATATTAATTTCCTTTAAATATATTATTTCACAGCTTACTGTTACCATTAGTCAGTATCAAAAGTTACAGGTTTTGTGATAGTTGCCTAGCTTGGCAGGAGAATTGGCAACTGCAGTTATTTGGAGACAAACGGAGGCATTTGTTAGGCTGTAAATGTATTAATTAACAATATCTAAAGCTTAATATATACATAATTTTTTTAAATGTTTGGTATGAATAATATTATCATTACATTTACATATACTTGTTATTTAAATAAATCAATTGATATTGTTTTAATTGTTATAGGTATTGTGTTTATGCACAGATACACATACTTGATTTTCTTTTTTGTTAAATACCTTGATATAAAAGTGTACTATATATTTAATATATTATTTCCTTTAAATATATTATTTCACAGCTTTCCTAAGGAATCAGCTATCCTTAACAGTTGGATAATCGCTACTAGTAGTGCTTATAGGTAACCAACAAAACTTAGCAGTGTATGCTCAAAACATTTTAAGCCTCACTAGGTGGACTAAATATGCTTAACTTATGTAATTTATAATATAATTAAGATAATTTTTTAAATGTTATAATTTCTTGTTGTATCTTGTTGTTTCTCCATAAGTGATATAAGTTTGATCTTGTTGGTAGTTATGATTTTTGACATTGTTCTGTATGTATTAAAAATTGACTAGCATTGCTTATTTTATTTTCAAATGCTGACATTCTGTATTATTATGATTTGTAATAATTGGGTGGCATGACAATGACAAAATATTTACTTATAGATGTATTGATTAAACATGAATCCTCATTTACAAATGTTGGAACTTTATCTGTACTACCATGTTTTATGCAAATAAATATTTAAATATATAAATAAGTAATTTAAAGTCCTGACCTAAATATACAAATGAATAATTTATTACCAATGGGACATTTAGTCCACCCTTAATCCCTTTTATAAAGGTGCTATAAACATTAATGTGTAAATAAATTAAGAAATAAATGTAATAATTATGATAATTTCTATTTAATTGTCATAAAAATAATGTAATAAAGATGTTTTTGACAAGAGATAAGTATTACCTATCTAAGTATAGTTTAGGAGTTGTATGTTGTTGTTGTTGTTGTGTGAAATTCTAAGGCTACTCAAACCAAGAATTACAACGAATGCTCTAGAAAGAAGACAAACATTTTGTTATATTTGTTGTTTATTAATGTGATGAAAAATTAATAAATAATCGTTTGTTTATTTTAATTTTATTGAATTATATTTAATATATAATTGTGTTTTCATTTGTTTTACTTAATGTAACATTGTTAATATTTCTAAATGTTGTGTAAGTACACAAAATTTAGTTCTTTTTCCTTTTTATATTTCAAAATATTTTCATTCAAATAGAATATATATCTTTACAGTCTATCAAAAGTCCACTGTTGAACATAAACATTATTATAGTTATTTGGCATAGTTTCAACGCTTGGAAAGCGGGTTGTCAACCATTATTTAGCTGTTATCAGGACAATGCTGCTGTTTATCTTCTTTGATGTTTCCCTAGGTCGCCTCTTACACCACCCATGGAATGATATGAGGTAGCAGATAATCTTACACTGCATGGTAAATTAAAATAGAATATTATAAAACATTCGTTTTTATTTTATATACCAACATATTACAAAAAAAAATCCTTTGTTGATGCTTTACAACGTATATTAACTAAAACATTTTACCACCTTAACCATTAGGTAACATGATTAAGCCACCTAACCATAAGTAAGTCACCTAAAAAAGGCCTTCCATAGATATCCTCATAGGATTACTTGCCATAGTTGCCGCGCCTGCGTGAAAATATGCGTTATGCTGGTTGGCCACCGCAGTTTTTTATTATTTTAAGTTTTCATCGGGAAAGTGCTACTGCCCCATCCCCATCTTGTATTATTGCTTACAACGCGGGGTAATATCATCCTGTGTACAGACAAATTCTCTTGTACGCCACAACTTGCCGCACACAAGACACTAACTTAGCAAAACATGCAGGAAATCGCGGGAGTAGGCTCATAACCGTGTTTTGTACTACAAAACCTAAGTGGAAACCCTTTCCTTTCGAAGATCGGTGTTCAGCACTGAACTTGTGATGGAATGGTATGTTAAAACATTATTGATTTTTTTTGTAAAAACAACAAAACTCGACACAAGGAAATTTTGTTTAATATTTAATATTTTTATTCTCAATTAATATTTAAGTACATACATAACATATTGTTATTTATTAGCGATATCACACTTTGTGCTATTAGCGCCTTCACTTAGTGCCGTCGAAATCCAAAGAGTTTATTGAATGTCCAGTAAAATCGTTGATGCGCCGTTGAATACAGAATGATGATTCTGTTTTTACGCCGTTTCCGCCCGTAGTTTTTGTCACAGAATGTATTTTCAAGAGAAATTAATTAATCATCTGAATTATAAAAGAACATTTTTTTATGGTAACAATTAAGTTTTTTGTATGAATGTAAGTGCTGTGAATATAAATAAACCCATAACGTGGGAAATGGAACAATATCTGGTAACCCAGTGAAAGTACCTCCCGCCTATTTCTATCTCAAAAGCATACGCGAATGCTTTATCTAGTCAATCCTCTATCTACGTCTATTCATAGGTTTTTTTGGCGGGAACTTGACAGGCGACAGATTGCTGCTTATGTATTGTTGTTTAAATAATGGTTTGAAGTGGATTTTGATATGTAAAAGTGGTGCGATTTTGTGTATTAAATGTCTGCGCATGTAAACTATTAGTGGAAACGGTAAAACAAGTGCTCTGATGTTGATGTTATTCAAAAGATAAGGTGTCTGTCTCCTTAGGCGCCTTGAGATACCATCGCCGACTATCTGCTGGCTCATGTTGCCGTCAAAATCTCAAAAGGGCTGCACTATATGACGCATCAACATATTGTGAAGTATTGTACTATGAAGGATAATTATACATTGTAACTTCAGGCTCAGAGGGGCTAGAATCCAATTCCGTAAAGCCAGTTATAAAAAGAAAAAATCTATGCAACTGACATGTGTCACATGTGACAAAATAGAAGATGAGGTTAGGTTTTTTGCGCGTGGTACGTAAAGTAGTTTTGTTAGTAAAATAGCAAATTGTATGAGAACAGAACAATGGTTCGTCACAATAACCAGCTACCGAATAATCTAACACAGTTGCAAAATTTAATCAAGAGAGATCCTGAATCATACAAAGATGAATTTCGACAACAGCTTGCACATTTTGATACAACGTTGGAAATTTTTAACCTAAATCCCACCCAATATAGCAAAAAACTTGACGAACAGGCGATGTTTTTAGCGCAAGTCACGCAGTGTTATTTGAATGAAATGACAACATTTCCACAGAAGATTGTTGATATTTTAAAAACTCATAATACTATTCTTCATAGTGATATGCGGCTTTCATTATGTAAATGCTTGATTCTGCTAAGAAATAAAAATTTTGTAACATCTTATGATTTACTTGAGCTTTTTTTCTCGCTCATTAAATGTCAAGACAAAAACCTCCGAGAATACTTGAAAACTCATATAATTACCGATATTAAGAACATGAATATGAAACATAAGGATATGAAACTAAATTCAACATTACAGAATTTTATATTTTCAATGCTTCGTGACACAAATGCAAAATCAGCTAAATTAGCAGTAGACATATTAATAGAATTATACCACAAAAACATTTGGAACGACCACAAAACTGTTAACATAATTGCTGATATTGGATGTTTCTCCAAGATTACAAAGGTAATGGTTGCATCATTAAAGTTTTTCCTGAGTAGAGAGGAAGAAGAAAAGAATGAAAACTCTGATAGTGATGATGAAATTGATCCAAGGGATACTATGATATCTAATAAATTTAACAAGAAAACAAGGAAAAGAGAGAAAATGGTAGATAAAGTTAAGAAAATTGCTAAGAAATTAAAAAGGAAAAAAGAAAAAGCACCAATATTCAATTTCTCCGCGTTGCATCTTATAAACAATCCTCAAGGATTTGCTGAGAAATTATTCAAGCAAATAGAATCATCAAATGATAGATTTGAAGTGAAATTAATGACACTTGATGTAATCTCCAGATTAATTGGCTTGCACAATCTGTTTTTGTTTAATTACTATCCATTTATTGCTCGATTAATTATGCCCCATCAAAGAGAAGTAACTAGGATTTTACAATTTGCAGCTCAGGCATCACATGAGTTAGTACCACCAGAGGTTATGGAGCCAGTGATGAAAGCCATAGCTAATAATTTTATTACTGAAAGAAATTCTACTGATGTAATGGCTGTTGGCTTAAATGCAGTTCGTGAGATTTGTGCTAGATGCCCTCTTGCTGTTGGAGAAGATCTCCTTCGAGATCTAGTACAATATAAGTCATATAAAGAAAAATCTGTTATGATGGCTGCACGATCTCTTATTCAACTATATAGACAATCAATGCCTAACTTATTACATAAGAAAGACAGAGGTAGACCAACAGAAGCATTAACAGAAATAAAAGCAAAGCAATATGGGGAATTGGATATAAAGGATTATATACCAGGATCAGAAGTTTTATTAGAAAGAAAAGAAGAGAAAAATGTGGAAAAGAAAAATAAAAAAACAAAAAAGAAAACAGATGATTCAGATGAAGAAGAATGGATTGATGTTGCTTCATCAGATTCAGAAATCGATATTTCTACAGATGAAGAAGACAATAGTGGAGATGAAGATCGAGAAAGCAATAGTGAAGATGAAAATGAGGAAATAAAAGTAGACAATGATAATGGTAAACAATCTGAAGAAAACCTTAATCAAAATAATACTGACAATAGAAAAATACTAAAGGCTAAAAGAAAACTTTCACCAAAAGAACTCGAAGAAAAAATTGAAACGGCCCGTAAAATTGCAATGGACACTATATTTACCGATGAAGACTTTAAGCGAATAGAAGCAGCACAAATAAAGAAATGTGTTAGTGGAGTTAAAAGAAAAAAAAATATTATTGAAGAAGAAGCTAATGAATCTACTGAACTTGTACAATTATCAGCTATTGAAAATATCCATAAGAAAAGGAAGCACGATAAAAATGCCAGACTAGAATCTGTACACAAAGGGAGAGAAGACCGAGATAAATATGGATATAAAGATCGAAGAAAAAATATTAACTGTTCAAAAACTAATAGAGAAAAAAGAAAGACAAAGGCTTATCAAATGGTGAAACATAAAGCTAAGGGTAAAGTTAAAAGGTCTTTTAAAGAAAAACAAATTGCATTCAGAAACTACTTAATAAAACAGAAAAAAATGAGATAGTGTGTTTTGTTGTATTATATTGTTAAATAAATATAAATAAACATTTTGTTACTCTTTTCTTGGCTCCTATTTCTGGGTGGTTTATAAAAAATAACCACGAAGGGGATAGAGGGATCTGGTTGTTCGATCCCACTATCCCCTTCTAACCTAACCTAACCTCTCCGAGTCGGGATGCCCCAAGTCCCGAGCTTGCTTCGTTTGCTCTTGCACCAAATAAAATACCAAAATATTAACTTTTATAATGGGTGTTATTTAAAAGGTTAGCAGTAACCAATCGTGAATCTTGCTGATCATGTAGTTATTTTGCTGATTAACTGTTTGCTAGGTAAAACTTATATTATTATAAGCTGCCTATTTGTGATTAAATTACTGAACATTATCAAAATTATTTGCGAAACAAGAGTTGCCGAATTTTCTTTTTTATTATTATTGCAAAGAGAATCTAAATGCTAACTAAATGATTTAAATGCTGTTTTTTGCGGCTACCCAAATTTAATACGGCTTAACATTTAATTACTTCTTTTAATCTAGAAAATTACCAGAATTGACGAGTAAATTTAGATAATTAACGCGAGATGTTGCAATAATGCTTCGATCAGTTTGAAAAACACCGTAACTACTCATACAAATAAAAATCATTATGTCTTTATATCTAGATTCTAAGAAGAAGAAGAATTCTGCTACCAGTATAATACTCTATTCTGTCAATTTATGCACTAGTAGTACCTATGTAGTTATTCGAGTAGTAGGTCAGGTAATGTACGACAAAGTCAACATAAACCCGAATATAATTGTGCTTATAATAGTGTATTTCTATCTTTGCAGCGTAGGCCTTTAGCAATCTTGTGTGTATGAAGCCTTGGTTGATGGTTGAACATAAAGGCGCGTCTCCACCAAAAATGTTGACAACATTTATGTTTCTGACATGTTGACAAATCAACAAAAGTTGACATTTCTTTCAAAATGTTGCAAGAAGCGTCTCCACCGAGGAAAATGTCGGCAACAAGCGTATTCCTTTGATTTGCAACATTTTGAAACAAATGTCGTCAACTTTTGTTGATTTGTCAACATGTCGGAAACATAAATGTTGTCAACATTTTTGGTGACATTTGTCGGCAACACGTGTTGACAAATGTGGAAAACTTTGGTGGAGACGCGCCATTAGCCTCACATAAAAACCAAGATATTATTACAGACAATTGACTTGCTTATAATTGATAATATCTATATAACCTAGTCATTGTTTTTACCATCAGTTAATTAGCTCAACTTAAGTTTGCCATATCTGGTACAGCAAATGATAGGAATATTACCATTTTATTAACATTTTGTTTACATAAGAATCTGTAATATTAGGTGAAAAATCATTTTACTTTCACATTTAATCTGTCAGGTGAAAATTTTATCGATCTCTCATCGACCACTAATAAAAAACTAGATACACAATCAAAATTCTCTAAAAACTGTCGCCTATTGTTTTGACGTAATTCTAGTTGAAATAAATATACATTAATATAAATTCAACCTTACATGTATTGCCTAAAGTTGTATTCACGAAGCTACGTACAAAATAAAATCGCACACAAATGTTTGAGTGGGCGCTCATTCGGTAAGGACATTTTTTGTCACTGATTGTGTATCTAGTTTTTTTTTTTATTAGGGATTGATGTTTCTATTACATATATTTTTCTTATTTATTCTGAACAAAGCTCGATACCCCAGGGACTAAAAGTTTATGAACAAAAAATCAGTTTATTATAGCATTGCTTCAACTAAGAAATATTGTATCAGAAAAAGTTGCAGTGATATCACGGTTACAGCTCATCCATACTACAATAGGGTTTCACACTCTGGGAGACATTTAGTTGATTGGCATAAAGTTTCCAGGGCAAAACAATTTTGTATAATATAAGCTATTTCATATACAGTTTTTTTTGTGGTATTGGTCCTCATGAGAGATGCAAACCTTTGTTAAAAACTAAAAATGTTTTGCCATTGCTTTTATTACAAACTAGCGATCCACCCCGACTTCACACGGGTGATTTCTGGATCTCAACAACAGCACCACCCACCGGGTACAATTCTGAATCTTTTAGATCATCTAGAGGCTCAAATGCAAAAAAATCATCAAAATCAGTCCAGCCATTTTCAAGTGCCAGACTAACAGACTGCAATTGATTTTTAAATATAGAGATATTCAAAATGTGTTGGTTTGTTTCTTTTGAACTGAGAAGAAGCAGCTTACAATAGACAACCAGATTACATGTACGTAAGAAAAGTATTTCTTTTATGTCCAACATAGGTACTAACATGTGAGGGACTATTATATATAGTAGTGAAGCTGATATATATAATACTTTCAATAAAGATACTAAAGTAAGCAACAGTAGCCTGAAGATTAAGTGACAGACTTCAGAACTTGTGGCTTAAAACCTGACATGAACCACTCCAAAGATTACAATTTTAATACAGTGTGTGTAATTTTTTTTCTACAGTGGAAGGGAATGGATATTAAATGAAAACGAAAACTAAGATTTAAATTATTACAAAAACACTATCATTATTTATCTTACTTTATCATGTCTTATTTTAACACATATTATTTCTTAAAATACAATCTTTAACTTTCTAAATCATATTCACCAAAACATACATGTCTCTAATAAAATATGGTATCACAAAAATAAAGAATAATGGTACAGAACATTATGAACTAGCAACTTGTTTTAATGGTCCTTCCAAATATTGTGCAATTGCATTTATTTTTTCCTTCAATATGCCAAAACCTACAGTTTCTTTAGCATACAAGCATAACAATAAATTTGCCACTTGTGTAACAGCTATTTTACCATTTAAACAATCCACTAAAATAAGATGCAGTTTGTCTTCCTTAAAAACATTTCTGCCTTGTTTTTCGTAAGCAGACCAAACATTGCTTGCTATTGCAGCTGTTACCCTGGCGTCTTTATCATTGTACCCGGAATACGCCAACAAAGCACCCTGATGATTTAACAATCTAAAAAAGAAAATCAAAATAGAACTATTTAAAACTCAAATATTTATCTTAGTCTTAATTTTTATGTTATTACAGTGTGTTTTCTACTCCTCCTGTATTTGCTTGACTTAAGACTTGCGTTAACGCTTTTGGTTTTAGCATAGTGAATAGGGTAATATTTGTTTTAAATTGTAACAGTATCTACAATTGTAATTTATTATAACAAATAATAAAAGTTAATAAATAACAAACACAAATTATAATTGATAACAAATATTATAAAAGTTAACAAAACAATTTTTTTTATTGAGTAAACTTGATCTTGACAGCTTCACTTGTTGTCAGTTGTCACCTTAACATTGACAGTTACTTTTTCAGTGTCGCCAACACACAAACACACAACATTTTTCCACGGGATCCCAAAGATTTTGTAACCTTGGGAAAAGAATGTTCCATTATTCAAAGCTGGCATATGTTTCAAAAATATTTTTTTTCTGTGATAATAGTAATAAAAATATACTTATAAACGTGGTAGAGCCGGGCTACAACTATTATTGGTACGATCACGAATTGAGTCAGCTCGACTGGGGAAAGACCACGCTTTCACAGATAATAGACTAAAATAACTTGAGACCTTTTTTACTGGAATGGCTCAGTAGTGACAACGCATCTGCACTTTTATTCTTAATAGAAGGTGAAGATATATGAAAATATATATGTACCAGAGAATCCATTTACCATCAGGGGACAATATGTTACCCTGATTCTAAATAAAAAGTCTTGATGTGATGTCCTCAGATCTTGCCATGGCAATGACTCTTTTGAAGGACCTGCGGGCCGAATTATACTTCTTTTTAAGAGCGCTGGTGTGAGCGTGTCAGGCCAGGCCCGGTAGCACTTCTGCTTATAGCGTGATGCTATTTTACAGGAGTGACCAAACCATGACTGGGATCTTCCTCCAATGGGCACCACAGAGGATGGAATAAAAGTTCCATACCCTGAAGTACCACATCAGCAACAGAACAACAACAACAGAGCGACAACGCTGGAATTTCCCGGCGAGAAGCAAACCCGCCCCCAAGGGTAGGATGCAAAAAAAAGACCGCATCCTATCCCAATTGGCCGACTTATAGTGCCAAACACGGTGGCAACCTGGAGAATGCAACCGCGACGTTAGTGTGAGTGGCACCACACTCCGGACAAGACAATGTTCCGACAAGCCTAAAGGAGCGTCGACGGAAACTTGATATCCGTCCGGATGAGAGGTCAGCTGAAGGTCCAACAGGGAAGGTGCGTGATCCTCCACGTCTGGAATCCGCGTAGGCGAAGTAACCAGCTGTGTAAGACCATATGACAAAGCAAAGTCATAAAGAAGATCATCGACGAAGAAAGAAGATTGTCGGATAATTAAATGTCTGTTTCTAACAATACTACGTCTTCGTCAACGTCAACGTCAATTGTCTATACGACACTTTCTAGTTTCTTACCGCGTTTACGCGGCCAGGTGATTACTCCCTAACGGTGCCAAACTGTAGTCTCCTGGTAACGCCACTTGTGGCGGGAACGGCAACCAATACGTGCGTCTTTTTGAAGACGATCGGAAGCCACAACGTGGGACATCATGCGTAAGACAAGAAGCTAGCAGCCTCAGAACGACGACAAAATGCCGGTGGGAATGCGTATATTCGAAGAAGCTCGCGGGAGCCGTCAAACTATCTATCGTTGACACATGCGCCCTCCGCCGCACCCACGCCGACACCTGTATCTATGCCCGCGCCCGCGCCGCCGCGCTCCGCTATGTCCGTGTCTACGACCAACGTTTGTTGAAACGAGTTCGACAGTACGTATCATCGCGCCCGTAGCTACTGATGCTGTACATAGGCCCGCGCCGCGCGCCCCGTCAGTCTGTTCAGCCCGGTCAACAGCTAGCGCGATCGTGAAGTTAAAGCAAATAGAATATAACACCGCAGAAGAACTCGCCGCGATTAGAAGAAAACAGCTTCAAATCGAGGAAGAATTAATTAAGAAGAAATATGCTAGGGACATCGCGCAGTTACAGGAAGAAACTGATAGGAAAAGTTTAAACCAAGACAAATTAGTCGAAAATAGGAATCGTGTCGACCAATGGTTAGATAACGTGGAGACTGTGCGGGGGGAGCCGCCCTGCCGCCCGTCTCAGCCCGCGCCCCGCATCGATCAAGTGCAGGCCCCGCCGAACTTGGGGACCGATTACATTCCTGCGGTACCCGTGTATGTCGAAGATGCCCAGGGGAGGACGGTCACGAATAATGATCAGCCACGTCACGCGAATATAGCACAGAGGGATAATGGAGTCGCCATAGAATCGAATCAAGTGAATCGTCATGTAGGGGTTACGTCGCCGACGCGCGCCCAACGGCGCACTCTATTGCCGAAGCATAGGTCACCATCGCCACAACGCCGCGAGGAACGTAGATTATCGTCGCCGTATCGTCGCGATGTAGTTATACGTAGGTCACGGTCAACGTATAATCGCGATACATCCCAGAGTCGTGTATCGTTAGAGGGAAATAGGGATAGAGGTAGATCGCTCACCCCGTGAGGGAAAGATAAGGGTATCGAACGACTAACGGAAGTATTAGAGAGTATGGTACGATTTAGACTAGCTGCCGCGAAGCAAACGCAGGACTTCCCTATTTTCAACGGCTCAGCAGCGGAATGGTTAGAATTTAAAGCCGCGATGAAAGAATCCACCCATTTATATGGATTCACAGACACGGAAAATATGGCAAGGTTGAGAAACTGTTTACGTGGTAAGGCTAGGGAAGCAGTATCGGTACTGTTGTTTACCGCAAAGGATCCAACAGATATTATGCGGACACTGGAGCAGTGTTTCGGCCGCCAGGAAATTATTATAGATCGTGCGTTAGAGGACTTGAAACGCCTTCCGCGCCCGGATCAAACTGTTCAGGAGTTAAACGCGTTCGCAATTATATTACAGAATATAGTTTGTATTATGAAGAACGTCGACGGTAAAGGATATTTACAAAATCCGATGCTCACTAAGGAGGTCACAAGTAAGCTTAGCCCTCATTTACGGTCGCGTTGGTGTGATTATGCGGAGCACTACGGAAGTGCTGACGAAACGGATATCATCACACTATCCCGATTTATGATGAGAGAGGCTGACCGTGCGTTAAGTCACGCCTGTACGTCCGCAGCGCCGACTAGAGCAGCACCTGTAAAAAGAGAAGCACCGCCGTCGAAAAAGTTTGTAGTCACACACCGCGTAGAGGATCGGCCCCGCGACGTAAATACGTTCACCACCCAAGAGGACAACGAAAGTGTCCAGTGTTTGTGTTGTGAGTATGAACACGTAATTGGTAAATGTAGGAAACTGGTACAGATGGACCTGGATGATCGGTGGAAGTGGGTGAAGGAAGAGGGGGTGTGTTTTAAGTGCCTAAGGAGCAAGCATTGACGCCTGAGGTGTAAAGCCAAGAAGTGCGATGTTGACGGCTGCAACGCCCCTCATCACGAGTTACTTCACTCCCACAAGATTCGGACACCGGAAACATCTGCCAAACTAGAGGAAACAGTGCTCGTCGCGTCGAATACAACTAATAGTGCGTCAATGCTTTTAAAAGATTGCCCGATTATCGTGCGTAGACCGCGTAGTAAGCAGATTGAGACCTACGCACTCCTCGACGAAGGGTCCACGATATCGTTGATCGACGACGAATTAGCTCGCGAGTTAGGCGCGGAAGGACCGACGAAGCCACTGAATATTCGAGGCGTATCTAATAGTCAACGCGAGGCTAATAGTCGAATAGTCATAATAAGTTTACGCGGAAAAACGAAGAACAAAACATATAACGTAAGTGCGCGAATGATAAATAATTTGACAGTAGGATCGCAGTCGGTCGGTAAAGAGTGTTTACTATTAAGACAATCACGCGATTTACCAAGCGAAATAGGCTATAAAGATGCGAAATCTAAAGTATTAATAGGGTCAGATAATTGGCATCACGTGATGATTGATTATCACGCGCAACTTACGGATAGGACGTCTTAAGCAATCTATCGCCGCTAGGATGTTGCTAGGATGGATAATACAAAGGACCGCGCCGCGTGTAATGTGTATACAAGACGGTGAAACAGTTTTAAACATTTCAAACGTTAACGGGCAAGAGGCAGTACAAGATCGACACGATAGGTATCTATCTCGCTCAAGAGTAGGCCAAGACGGGAAGAGGAGCGCACTGTCAACATCCAGCGCACCGTCAAGAGGGTCCACGAGCAATACCAAGTCGGACTGCCGTGGAGGGACGACTTCAGGATGCCACCTAGCTACGAGATGGCAACTCGAAGACTCCGAACCATGAAACGGGGGATGGACCAGTCGCCGAAGTTTCGAGATGCATACACGACGCAAATGAACAACCTCCTAGAGAAGGGCTATGCTAGTGAAGCCAACGGGTCAGAAAAGGAAGATCCCAAGAGTTGGTACCTGCCACACTTCGCCGTTAGGAACCCGAACAAGCCCGGAAAGATGCGATTAGTATTCGACGCAGTAGCTCGCGCATCAGGCAAATGCTTGAACGATTACCTGCTCGACGGCCCCGACTTGTTACAGAACCTACCCGGTAGGGACTATAACATGCGAGCACACGCCGAAGCATATCCGCGAGCTCTTAACGCTATCGTGAATAATCACTATATCGACGACTACCTAGACAGTTACGCGACCGTAGAGGAGTCATTAGACATAACGAAGCAGGTCACCGAGGTACACCAGAAGGCAGGCTTACGTTAGCGGGATGGAATTCGACCCATGCAGCCTTACTACCTCTAGGTAAACCAGAGGTGCTGCTGGCACGAAAGCTCAAGGACTTAATATCTAGATATTAGATATTTTGGTTATTATGGATGGCCGAAGTGGACGCGCTAACCACCAATACGTCCATGAAGAGGGTGCCGTATGATGTGAAGACGCTCCATCGAAAACCGACCAAGAGAGAGGCGTTGAACGCAGTGATGTCAGTTTTCGACCCACTCAGACTGCTCAGCTACCTCACCATCACAGCGAAGATCCTGCTGCAGGACTTGTGGCGTATGAAGAAGGTCAGATAGGATGATGAACTACCCGAGGAGGCAGCGGACGAGTTCCAGAGTTGGCTGCG